AAAAAAAAAAAAAAATTCACAAGTGTATGATGTACTAACAAATAAAAAAAAAAAAGCAGATAAATTTTACCGAAAGGTTTGTAGTTTTCCCGTTGCTAAAATAGTTCAATTTGATCGGTGTTGAAAATCGTTTGTTTAACGCCGCAACGTCATACAGCGCTAGTACGTCGAGCTTCGAGGTTCGTTTTAACATTTGCGAGAGAGATCGTCCTATTTCTCCTGCGCCTCCAATCACCGCCAGCTAACGAAAGCATGAAAAATTATTTTTCATTTTTTAAACTGCAGATCATCAAATTGAGAAAGTGATCTTGACACAAATGCGTCATAGGTCTGTGTTACGTACGCTCAAACATTTATTCTTTATATAATATACCTTGATGTTCTCTTCACCGGCGTGATATTTTCGCTGCCCGATGGTTTTCACAATGGACTTGGTGGCCCGGGAAAACATTATTAATCCTGTTGATGTATTACTGAAAATTTTTTTAACGCCTTCTTCGGGCGTCCGGCATGTTTAAATTATGGCAACTAACGGGTCCGGTTACCAAGTGAAGTTTTGCATTTGTTTCTTTAGATCATGTGAAAATGTGCGTCGAAATAATAAAAATGAAAAAAACAAGATCGCTCGAATGAACGTGTTTGCAATGGATGTAAAAAATTACGTGTTGAATTAAAAAATATTTCAGGCAAATGTTAGTTAGTTTCGTATCAGTTACAAATTGCAATAGTAAAAATTACCAGAAAATCCTCCTTTCGATAAAAAGTCAAAATCATCTTGATTTATTTCAATGACACCATGGGAACAGTTAAAGCTGATGCTAAGAATTCAACGAGTTCAACGATTTATAATACTATAACCTTACAAATAACCTTGAGGACAAAATTTCGGATTAGACTCAGGAACATTCGTACAAAAATTAGGTTTAGATTTGTATTATTAAAGTCTTTCGGAGAGACTAGATTTAAATAGTACGCGCCTTTAAGAAATCTTGTAAATACAGCCATCTAGCAAATACTTGTCAAATGCTTCGTATATAATGGTAGATTAGGTCGATAATCAAACATGAAACAGTGATCTGCATTATCTTATGAAGGAAATACTTTGTGTCACTGACGAGATATATGCATTAACTAATTTGCATAGACCTGACCCCATCAAATGAAGTTTCGTGTCCCAGGTTCTGAAATACCGACCAGGAAAAAAATCTCTACTTCCTGGTCGGTATTTCAGAACCTGGGACACGAAACTCTGATGTCAAGTCTATGCAAATTAGTCAATGCTTTAATTCAATAAATAATTTTCGATGCAAGTGTAACAACAGTTTTCATATTTTCTGATTTTAATTCTTGTTACTAGTAGCGCTGCAGTACAAAACCTGCCTAAATCGATATGGTAGAATCTGACACAAAAATAATACAGGATTCATGTGACTCCCACATGGGACACGAAAAAGCATTTGATGTCTGGTCTATTCAACGTTAATGGTCATATCATTGACTAAGAGTCAGGATTCTATTTTTAGTCAATAATGTTATCATAAAAGATACCAACTGTACTTACAGGTGCTTACTTTATCGATCAAGTTATTTTCTCACGTTAAATTAGAATTTTATCGACTGAACCACGAGTTTAGTTTAGTAGTCCTTTTTGCTCATAGATCATATTTAAATACTTTAACAAGATACTTAGTGGAGTTAGTTTAATTACGAAAGTACACATAGTCGATGAATAAATTAATTAAACTCAATTGTCAGTTAAAATTCGTTACATCGATAAATTTATGCCGCCGGTATTCAAGCAAATTGTTAGCCTTAATTAACAATTACTTGGTACATAATTAAATCGTGTTATTTCGTGTTCCTGTTCAATAGGAAATCAAGGCAACGAAGATAGAACTGATACAAACTCTTTATTAAATTATAAATTGAATCCAATTGATTGCATTTCTCGTTATGCGATGCACGATGGAACGTTCTTCGTCCTCTCCATTAATATCCATCGTCGGAGCAAGTGATAGTATAATCGGGATACTGCTTTTTCAATAGACTAACAGACACTTCGTGATCTGCCTTTCCGAAACCCTGAAAGTAAATCGAACGTCACATCACTTTTTTCGTTTCTTTTACCAATTCGTAAATTACGAATTTTCTATAGCCTAAAGTCAAAGATCAATTCTTACAGTGCTTTCGACTTTGATACGCGAAAAAACAAAAAGAAAAAAAAAATGATACGATACCCCGGGCAACATTAAAATTATTCTCCCTCAAGGCTTTCTTGTTTATACCCGGGAAAACTATTTTTTCAATAAACAAACCCCTCGATCGTATATCGCGATTGGTTCTGTGGCTATGATACGATAAAGTTTTATGCGAATTTCGCTGATCTCATCATACCTTTACTCCATCGTTATCTTGAAAGTAGAATAATTAGTTTACCAACTTTTACTGTTTAAAATTGGGAGCCGGTGAATGATCATTGGTACACACTGAGTTTGCCCTGCAAATCTCAGGCGAAATTCAATTTTTTATCTACCACGTTCGCGGATTTATCTTTCATTTAATTCCGATCTGCTCTTAAGCTTGACTTAATGGGGAATTTCTATCAAAGTCTCCTTGATACATCGACATAATAAAACTTTCATCCACTGCGTCTGACCTGTGACTCTTCGGGATTTAAACGTAATTGCATTATTAAATAACGTGGACAAAGTTCAGAAGAGCGTAGAAGACAATGTGAATGACGATGTAGGTAGAATGGTAATGGTTGTTAAATTAATAGGATGTAAATGAATCGAGAGTTAGTAAACCAGCGAAGTTCGTTAGGGCTCATTAATCTGCGGATTTACCTGAGAGTATCCGTAGACTTTGATGGTCCTCTCATCGGGGTCGTGCTCTATTCTACCACCTCCGAGGCATTTGGCGCGCAAACCAGGAATCGATTTCACTTGATCGCCAACTTCGTCGAAAATATCGGCTGAAACAAAGAAAAGAAAAAGATTTGATAACACAAATGTAAGAACCAAGATTTTAGTTACTTCATCAGCCGTAACACACCATTATCATATTTATTTGTTAACTGTATTTTTATTAAGTATATTATATTATATTTTATATATATAATATAATATACTAAATTAATAAAATAAATTATATATTATATATAATTATATATATTATTAGTATATTGTATTATTTATTATTTCGCCACATGAAAAAAATATTTAAAAAATAAGTACAAAAGCCATTTAAAAAGACTATTCGTAAATTTAAATTCGTAAATTTTGGAACATTTAAAGATCACGATGAAATAAAAAAAAAAGAAAGAAATTAAGAAAAGAATGAAGAGATCTGCTTGAAAAATATTGCGCGCTGTATATGAAATTATTTGTTGAAGTTTATTTTGAAGTGAAATGTTTATTTATGTTGCTCAGTGATTGTGTAAACCGTTCTAACGGCTATATGTTTTGCCAATGTTTGTTGTTATTGAAACAAAAACAAAGAAAGATTAGATTTTGAATTTAACTTTTTCACACGTATCATTTCTTTATTTCTTTAAATAAAGAAATTATGAATATATCCAAACCAACAACATCAAATTAATAATATGAATTTTAGTAATAAAATGATTGATTTATCGAGAGGACCAATCATAATAATGTTAATGCAACTCCGTTTCACGAGTATACTCCTTTTAATTTAATTTTAGCTGCATCAGTTAACAAATTAATCCTCTGTAATCTATGACAGTGATTCTCAATCATCATGCCGCGACAATTAAGTGAATTGAATAAAATTGAAATTTATAGTACTGTTCATTAGATTGTGTAATAAATTCGTTTATCTCTTGATGTTTCGTTTTTGAGAAAGGAAGAGTATGTATTATCGAAGATCGAGCGTCAGATTCAACCGTTTTTATTGTGATTTCGGAGAAACTCTGTATAATATTGGAATTTAGGAGAGATTTTAAATAGAAGTTTTTGTTATAATTTCTCAACTTATAGCTTATGCAAAACAAATTCACGTTTAACGTAACGATGTTGTAGCAGTTTGAATACCAACAGTTTTCCCAAAAATAAAAAATCTATCGGAATAGACATCAGAAATATCGATTAAAATGCGATTACTGTGATATATAGTTTTGTCAATTGTTATATTAGGATTACATGTTCGTTACATTATGGATTACAGGTGCATTGTACATAAATCGGATGTCATCGATGCGAAATTCCAGCGACGAAAATCTGCATCGAGGCTTGCAAAATATAAAAAAACAGATTGGCCATGCACTGCCCGTCAGAAATAAATTACAGCATTTAGAAAGTAGGATTGCAGAAATCTGAGAGTCATCCAGACATATTTTTTCAGGCTATCGTGAAGAAAAAGATTGTTCAAATTTGAAATCATTAGAAAACAAATAAGTTCCTTTAATTATCAAACCACCCAATTTTTGCGAGAACTCGAATTTGAAATTTACCTTTCTACGAGAGGTTAATTAAAAAAATCATGCGATTTCTAAGGTATCAAAGTTCCTTTTGGCTTTTAAGATGTTGCATATTTCAAAGGCTGAATACGAAATTGATGTCGCTAAAAAAAGTTGCCTAAATGTTCCAAACTAGTCGATTATTATTTCATATTTTTATGGCGAAGGATGTTTTTACTTCTTCGAGAAATTTAAAGATGTAAAAATTCAGAGAATGCGTGTAATTTGCAAAAGTGTATAAAATATCCAAGACAGATATGCCTATATTTCTACATATTTCTACATGGATTTTATTTTCTTAATTAAGTCTGAAAAAATATCAAAATGCATCAATAGTTATATAGCATTTTTTCCTTTTTCTTCTTTTTTTTTTTTACTAATAAAAGATGCTAATATTATCTGACAGAAAAAAACTTGCTCCTGCTTGTATTTAACCACATATAAAGAAGAATATAAAATGATACGTAGAATATAAAATGATAATCCGAGGTTATTTCAATATCTAAAAATTAGTGCAAGAATGCATCTCTAAATTACTTTCCCTCCTTACTTAATAAATTAAAAGAGGAAAATAAATTTCCTTTGATCACGTCTAGATTAATATGTACTTTTTCTTGCAAAGTATTTGTTAAAATTTAATAAATATTTTAAGTTAATTTTAAAACAAATTTTAAATTGATTTTAATAAATTTTTATTCTTATTATACCGAAAGATTTTTATCGTATTTTAAATAAATCTTGTATTTGTTTCTTGTAACATCTTATGCCAAGTTTTCCTTTAAAATTTGCTAAAATTCACTCGCTTAAATCAATTTTAAAATTCATAAATTCTCATTCATGGTGAAAGACTTTTGTCGTGCAACAAGATAATTTGATTTTCGATTATTTATAACGTCAATTTATCGTTTTAAATTAATTTGATGAATAATATTATTTAAATTTAATTTGATGAATAATATTATAAAAATTATTCGTACCATGCCGAAACTGTTTCATCGCACAACAGTTCGTCAAGATCACTTTATTTGTGATTGTTTGTTACCCTAGACGTCAATTGTAACGATATAAGAAATACAAATGATATACTGTGAAATAACGTCCAAGATTTTTTAGGCACTTTCAATGGTCTGACAAAACAAAAAACTCGAACGAAAATTCAACAGTTTCTGCAGCCAATCGGCTATAAATTATAATATACAAAATTTATATAAATATAATACAAAAATAAAAAAAATACAAATCATAAGAAATAAAAAAATATTCTTTTCGTTAAAATGTCATTCTGATACACTATATATTTTTGACTTTCACAATGTTGCAATATTTCAATAATCTGATATACTTATCTGATATATCTTTCTCATCACTTTGCATACCCTATGGTCGACGCATGCGAAAACAATTACTTTGCGAGCGATTACAATTGAAAGAGTTGATTTCAGATATCGGGAAAGAGATTCGCCGAGAAATCGCTGTCGCACCAACGAAGCTGTCTTCTCTGTTAGCGTTAGTATTAGAAAAAGAAGAAGAGACTTGTCATCTCCGTACTTTGAGAATCGTCGCGTCGAAGGAGTCGTCCCCAACTCTTAGAGACGGTGCAGAACACCAATGACGTCTCTTCTTTTCTAGCTTCTCCACTTTCCCGAACCCTTAGCTCTCGCCTTTAGCTCTATTATTATTAGAATATAATAAAATTTTGCATTTTGTACAACACAATGAAGAACACAGCCAATGATAATTGTCGGTAATTTAAATTGACATAACTTCGTAAAAAAAGGCTCACGTAATCGTTATTTTAAAGCGCGAATATTTTATTGTTGACAGTCGTGGATTCGTTCTTCCCGAAGATAATTTTACGGCATGTAGCGAATGAGAAAGTGAGAATACTTTCTTTTTCCCCAAGAAAATTCGAACGTGTGTAGAAATATTAGAAAATTCTTTTTCACGATTAAATCCGACATGGTTTTGAAAATTCAAATTTTCTTCGTACAAAAAGCTTTTAAAACTCGCTTTTTTCACTGTTTCATTGAACTACGGTCAAATGAAATCAAATGTTAGGGTTTTGAATTCTTGTCGTTTAATATTCAATAAAATAATGAAAAAAAAAAAAAAATCATACAACAAGTTTTAAGAGGCTGTTGTACAGAAGAGACTGGTAAATGTAGTTACGGAAAAAATTTTTTAATATTTTTTACAATTTTCGAGAAAAAAGAATTCTCACTGTTCCAACCGTTTCGAGTGAAACGATTATCAAAGTAGAGGATTCATGCTTTGAAACAGAAATCAAAATTAAAAGGTTCTTTCGTGTTTTGTAAAAGGTTCTGTATATTTATTTACCAAAAAAAAAAAAAGAAGAAATATTTGTCTTTGTGGAATTTTTATAGAAAGTGTTACACTTTTGAATAATGTTCTCATGGAACAGATGTTTTAGAATCTATATAACAAAAGGTCCGTGGAAACAAGTTACTTTAGAACATTCAAAATCCATTTTTATATTCGAGTACTATTTGTTGAATAGTATTAGTATTTGCTACAAATATCGAAAACTTTTTCCAATATAAATTTAACTTAATTTAACATTGATATTAATGTTAATATTTAATTTAATGAATTATCATCTTTTCCTCCAAAAGAGGAATTCTTATTTTCTTTATATTTTACAAGTTCTATTCTCTCTGAAACATTTATTTTTAAAAATAATTCTAACTTCTATTTATCCGTTCCCATCGGGACCCGTAATATTTTTCAAAAAATTTTTACGATCCACGTTTCAACTAGAACCTATTTGAAAGTTCCTTAACTTTTTCGATCCCTGCTTTAAAACGAGACCCAAGTGGATATAATTTTTCCTCTTTGCAAAATTATATCTGATAATTTAAATTATCGACCATTTTTCGTTAACATTAATACAGTTATGCTCTTCAGTGTGTAGCAAGTAAATAACGTCTAGAAGGCAATGACCTGAGTCAAGGCGTTAACCTGTCGAAAAACGACAAAATAAAAGGTAAAACAGTGGACAAAAACAAAAAAGTAAAACAGTCAGTTCAGGTCAGCGACGAGAAACAAAGCCAAAAACGAAACGAAACATGTACAGGGTGAACGAAAATTATATGTCACGATATATAATTTCCGCTAAAATGTATTTACAAGTTGTCAGACAGACGAAATGTTTCTTTACACTACATCTCGAGTATAAAGACAAAGCAAACTGTGAATGATGTACCATTGGTGTAAGATAAAAGAAATGACATCCTGATGTTGGGAATTGCAATTTTAAAAAATTGTTGAAAAATAAAAATACATAGCTTTAACGTGTTAAGAATTATTGGAACTTTAACCTCG